GGCAGATCATGGGTTTTCTTAGTTTGCTACTCTGAAGTGACTGAAAACTAAGTGGAACATACAGAAATTTACTTCTACATAAGGTGTGCTGTGATTTGAACTTAACTGATTTCTTCTAGCAAGGGCCACAACCCTTGCTAGAGATAACCTGCAGATAAGCAGGATATTGCAATACACCAGAGTATTCAGGAATGAGCTGAACACACCTCAGGGGTTTGCATCCTTCATTTATAAAGCAGTAGAAATGTTTAGAAACAGAACAAATTTATATTTTCAAGTTACCATGCAGTAAGTAAAATCAATTGTGACTTATTTCCTTTTATGATGATACCTTTAACTCCAGTGCTGTAAAACACCAATGTTTATACTACAGAAGTTCTTCATCTATCACACATGCTCTGCTATTCTTAGCTCAGCTAAAATGATAAACAGTTTCTACGAATGCCCAGTTTTCAATAAAGTGAATGGTGTCTCTTTCCCAAGGAAGACCAAACAAAATAAAATGTTATAGTATCTAAATATAATGTGTTTGCTTTCCAAGTAGAAACCTGATTTGTTAGGCATGATTTAAAAATCCACTGGAACACATCATGTATGGTTTTTATTAATCTGTATTTTCTAAGTATTGACTTTGGCTTCTACTTAACCTGGAGCAAATTCTATCCTTCCAATGGAGCACCTGAAGTACACAATTCCTCCATGGGTAACTTCTGATTTTTAGATAAATTGCTGAAAGATAACCCTAAACAAAGCATTACTGTTTCCCCTTTGTTGCAAGGTAGAAAACATCACAGGCTCTAACACATCTAAGGGGAAAGATCCCAAAAGTTTTAAAATATTTGATTTAAAATATTTGAACTTCAACTTGTCTTTTGTGAAAATTTAAGATAAGCATTCTTGAGGAAAATAGCTGTTAATGTAGAATATTTGAAATCTAGTCCTATTAAAATGCTATAGAAACAGTGTTTACAGGGGCAAAATTCACAGCTGGTCCTTACAAACCACATACATATGCAAGGAGTGGGTGGGAGTAGGAGGGAGCATAGCAAGGGCCTGCCTAATTTTAGGCGCCAGCCTTATGATACAGAGCTGCCATATGTTAAAGGTGAACACAGTGGGAGGATGGAAGAGATTAACTAGAATGGGTTTTCTGGCAAAAAAAGTGTGTCCCAGCTATGGGGTTTTATGCTGTTCTTGTGTGATTTTAAACTAGCAGGATGAAACCATTAATTAGGAGATGTGGTGCCTTCCTGGGAGGGCAGTTCTGCATAGACTCTTTAATCTATTTGAAAATCAAACCCAGAAATTCCTAATTGACAAAATCAGTTCAGTGGTAGAATGAATAGACACTGTTTGCACTGCTGGATTTTAGTGCTAGAGCATACAGCAAAAGTGAGATTTTGTTCTAGTGGTGGTCGGTCACAACGCTTTGTAAACTCATTTAATGCCTGAACTAAGCCTGGGCAAAACCAGCCACATGAAAACTTTAAAAGTGAATAAGATGGCCTTTGCCCTCTTTACAAAACTTTTCCATCCTCATGCCTCCCAGCTGACTGTAAGTGCTCTCACACTCATCTGGGTGTAGGTGATACTTTCTGAGGGCTCATTAGCCTCTTTGTGTTTCTGGGACTTACAGAAGAAATGCCTGTTTGGGACAGAAACAGTAACTTAAAAAATGCCTTCATTAATCACCTCATAGTAAAATTAATTAATGAACCTTTTTACCTTATTATGTGGGGTCTCTTCAATGCACTGATCCTCCAAGTTCAAAAGAGAGAATAGAAAAATGGGGGAGGATCCAGAGGAGGGTCACCAAGGTGATGAGAGGGTTGGAGAACTTGGCACATGCAGAAATGTTGAAGGAATTGGGTTTGTTCAGCCCACTCTTCTCATAAAGATGTTGGGCACAGTCAAGAAGCAATGAGCACAAGTTGCTTCAGGGGAAATTTTGTCTAGGTTAACAAAATATTCTTCATTGTGAGAACAACTAAACATTGGAATGGGATACCCAGCCAGTATAAAAAGGATTGAGATTCCAAATGTAAATTGGTGAGGAAACAGGCACCAGTGCTTTGTTTCTCTTGATGGGGAATGAATCTGGTGCCATGTGTGAATGACTGGTGGTACTGCTACACAAAAATACAATAGTGCTTGTCCTCTGTGTTATCTTAAAGTGCAACAAGTTATCTTAAAACATATCTGGGCCCAAATTCCACCTTTACTGCCTGGCAGGAGGGAAGTTTTATTTGCAATGAAGCTGACTCCCTATCTACTGTTGGAATTTTTGTCCTTTGATAACTGTTAATTTATTTTATTTTAGTAAGACACTTGAACTTGCTTTTTTCCTAGTGCACACTGAGTTGTAACTCAGAGGGGCTTCCATTCCAGTTTGCTATTTCATGGCAAAGCTATAAAAATGACCTTAATGCCCAGCCCAGGCTCAGGTCAGTTTTAGCAGTCCAAAGGGTGGTTTCTCTTGCAGCACTGACTACTCCTGACAATCTGGTTGATTGAAAATAATTTACTGAGGCAAACATGATTTGCTGGATAAAAGTGGTGATTTCAAAAGTTTTTCTGAAGTCAAGATTCAGGGACAAGATTCAGCTTTCCCTGGTTGGTACAGGGAGCTGCTCAGCCCGATGTAAATGTTTTATTCATGTCAATTATTCACATAAGTGGGTTTCACTTTAGTGTGTAACACAAGCCAGCTGGTTTGCTTCTTTTAAACTCTGATTTCTCATGCACCTCATATTGCTACACCCCTTCAGAGATATTTATGGAAATTTCACAGCAAGCTGTCTCAAGCTTATGTGCTATTAAGATTCCTTTCTGGGGTGTTTACTGCATTAGATTTATAATGTATAGATTTATGGACTCAGCTACTTGATGGTCCAATAAAGCATGTTGGAACTGAAGGCAACTGCTAATTAAAATAACATTTGATTGTATATTTGTATACAGGAAAGTGGGTAGTGCTGAAATACTCTTATGCCCCTCATGGCTTTGGCTGGGCTAAAAATGAATGGAAGTATTCTAAAGTAGAATAAAAGGACTGACATTCACAGCCAAAGAGAACAAGAAGGTTACAGCATTAGTACCAGGGCTGTGAAGTATCAACTATTCTGATAATCCCCATTTAAACAATTAAGATTAAATCCTACTGGAAAGGATCAGCTGATAAGATGGCCCCTCAAGCTAAGTTCCTTCTAGAAAAAGGATATTTTTAGTGTTGGTTTTCACCCTGAAATCTCCACCATTGGTATTAGAAACAAGGGACTGTGCAAGCCATGCTCCTTGCTCCAAACAGTTGACAGCTGATTTCATATACATTACACAGTGTAGTAAGAGATATGGATTGCCAGGCATGCAAACAGCCTGGCTTACACTCTGCAAAGGCATTTGGAAACAGTGATGAAAGCAAAACAAGGAAATAGTTAAAAATAATATTAATTAAAGTGCTGTGTTATTGAAATGCTCAGTTAATTCCATTTTAATGAGCTGCATTAAGAACTCTAACACCACTTCAGTGTGGTGACTCCACTCAGAAGAAGTTTTTAGCCAGTGGTTATGAAGGGTGATTTCACACCCTTCTCTGCCATTAAATGGATAAATTTTCCTTGCCTTTCCTCCTCACAAAGACTGACAGCAGAGTTTTTTAGGACAGATAACAGAAGGTAACAGCAATGGAAAACTTGGGCACTGTCACCAGAAGCAAATGAAGAGAGTCACTAACAGTGAGATCTACAAAAATTCCTGAAAAAGCTTTTTCATGTGAACTCCTGAGTTCCAATCTGTAGTTTCAGCAAGTGGGGATAAGATGCAAAACATCTGATGCTTTCTGCAAATTAGGCTTGCACCACCTAGAGTAGATGAGATTCTACTGTTGCTAATAAGCATCTGCTTGTCACATCTGCAATGGTTCAGCATCCAAGTGCAGAGCTCAGAAAGACATGTCTGCACATATCCAGCAAATCCAGCTTTCTGCTGAGCCATTGAGGTACATAACTATGACAGACACAGGAACAAACCCAAAAAAACTCCGGGGGGATGCTTCAAGAATGTGTCATTTCTTCTGTTCTAATTCTAGATTTTATTTGCTATTATTGATAATATCATCTTCAAGCTCAGTTTCCAGTCACACAGGTACAAAGCCATAGTATTACCCAGAAAAGAGTCCAGCATCCACCTTAAATTCCCAACTGTCCTGTCATGGCTCCCTGCATGAACAGAGAGCCCAAGGGAGCAGTGCTCTATTTTAATAGTTGCTCTTGTATTTATTTCCATTGTTATGAAATTGGCTTTTAATTCACTTTCATTTCCTAAGCTATTTTTCTACCTTTTTTTTTTTTTTTTTTTTTTTTTGTATAAATCTCATGTAGTAACCTACATCTGTCTGAAAATAAAAGGCACCCTTTGATTAGAGCTGGAATGCAGGATCATATACAGTGTGTTTGGAAACCTCTGCAGAAAAAAAACATGTCTGCTTTAATACATCTTGCTCGAGGCAGCACGGGGTGAGGCAAGGACAACGGAGCAGTGTGTTTGAAAAAAAAGGGAAAAAACTCTGCTTTTCTTGGCCAGTTAATGCATCAAGTTCAGTGTTATTTACGTGACTTTCAGAAGAGTTTGGGATAAAAGTAATTTATTTGCTGCCCTTCTTCTTTTTTAGTAGACTGCAGAATTCCACCTGCAAAACTGTGTTTCTGGCAGCTATAAGAATTAAACAGTGTGGAAATTTCAGCAGCTAGAATAACTTACTATTAACTAGATCATGATATATATAGAATGGAGGTGAATTATATTTTTCACAATTTCCTTCATATTTTTACAGGAATAATTAAAAACCCCTATTATATAAATTAATCTTCACTATATTCTAGAAAAAAACAGCATACAGTGCAATGTGCAATAAATTTTTCGATTAATTCTAGGACTGAAAATGTGTTTAGTTTGATGTGCTTCTATTTCAACTCCGACCTGTTTTCCCCAGAACTACTCACTTGATAAAATATTTGATTCCATCAGCTGTATAAGCTTCTTCCCATCCATAAGGCAGACCTAAGAGGAGATAAAGAAGTAAGAATTCTCTTAAAACTCAAGTGACATAGAGAACATAGTTTTGAGATACTGTAAGTTACAATACTGTCATTTCACACAATGTCATAAACAGTTTATAAATCAATTCCTACTTTTGCAACAGATAATAATATAAACAATACAATTTAACAAATACTTGCTGTGCCACAAAGCTAACTAGCTTTGATGATTTGATGATACATTTATTATTAGATGATACTTTTTGATAAGTATCATTTGATGATACTTCTATTACTAGAATGGTGAGTCATACTTCTAGTAGGGTCCTATTCTATATTCCTTTAAAAATTAAATTGTCCTAGCACATCTTTACCTTTTTAATAACAATTTCTTCAAAACTAACTCTTTGTAGGGTTTAAAAAGTGCATGAGAAAGAAGCACCAGTCCCTGTGTAAAAAGGCTTTTGTGATACTGTGAAGTACATAATGGCAAGTGCAAGGTCCTGAAAAACTGTGGGTTTTTTGAGACTAGAAATATACATTAAATTTAAATATACAAGAAAAATTGTTCTTGAAGTGTTTTGCCTGAAACTCATCTCAAAATGTTAGTGTCTTAGGAGTTAAACTATTTTTGTTCAAGTCCCAGTGTATCTCAAAGACCAGCTCATTAGAACCATCTGTGAGCCTGCTTTTGGTTTAAAACTTTTATTTGGAAAATGTGCTGGACTGCACGCACCATCTGAGCTTTGAAAGCTGCCTCCTCCCAAGGACTGCCCTAAGTGCACATGTTTATTTTTTTACATTTCTTTTTTAAAAGGCTGATTTTCTTCTGTTGTCACACCTTTGTCCCTAGTGTGGTTCTTCTTAAACGTCTGAGGAGGGGTAACTTCAGTTCTCCAGTACAAACAGAGTTCATTACAGCCACTGAATCAGGACTGGGCACACTGCAGCTGGTACAAACCTCCTGGGAAGGAATTATACCTGCAGGCACCCAGCAAGGAGCAACAAGGAACCAAACCTGCAGAACTCAGGATGGGAACTTGAGAACTGGGAACTAGAACAGCACTGTGATCACTCAGTACAGCTTTCAAAAGAAAAAAACCCATTGGACTGATTTTTTTTTTCCCTATCAGTTTTACCCCCATTAATCTCTTACCTCAGGCTCCTTACCATTTTCAGTTTAGAACAGATCTATACAATCTGTTCCTCCAAACAAACTACCCACTACCTTTCAAAGAGAATAATCCACAGCTACTACCCGTTAAACACAAAGTTGCTGCTGCACAGCAGTTCTCAGGTTCTGACTCCATTATGAAGGGAGGAAGAAAAGGATGTTTTAAGCTATAAATATGCTAGACATGCTCACTGGTTCTTCCTTCCTCTCCCATGAAAGATGGGACCTTTATTCAGCATGGATATTTTCTGTTATTTAAATGGCAATGGGATTCATCCCTCAATGGCCTCCATCTGCCCAGGCCTTTCCTTTTTCCTGCATGAAGCATGCACTTCCAAATAAATGACAATGGATTTGCTCAATTACGAGTGAAAGCCCTGCTCTGTACTCACATGGACCCCTACACCACCTGTTTCATTTATCAGTGCTAACTGCACTTTTTTCCACTGGTGATTTGATTAAAATTTTTATAGCCTTTTTCCCTCTCCTAAATGAAGAACTATACACAGGTAGCAATAACTGATGCTCTGTATTCTTCCCTTACCCACTGAAGACTTTGCTTTTCAAATACACTGAATACATTTGTCACCTAGAAATGAAACCCTGGAAATATTTCCAGTGCTTTATTTGCCTTTTTGACTTGGTATGCATTAGATTGTGTATCCTCTCCATTCTTTGTATGCTTCCACATTCCACCTACATCTATAGGATTTTTAATGCTTTTATTTTCCAAATTTTTTACTTGCTCTCCAGTAGGTTTTTAGTGCTGTTCTCTTTATTAATTTCCTTCCCTTTCAGATTTGTACTTCTATTTCTTGTATTTCCCCTGGTAGCTAGGAAGCTCTCATGTTTTGCATCGTATTTCCCCAGACATCATCTCCACTTCCTCCAAGCTCATTGTCTCCATGAATCATTCATAAGTTGATCTACTTCCTCCTGCTTTATTTTTGCACACCCTCCAGGGTCAAATTTGTTGTTTGTCCCAGGACTTGTTTTGAAAGGCTGCTAATTTCTCACCTGGAGTAAATGGGAGGTAAAGGAGCTGAAAAAAAGTCAGAAAAACAGTCTGAAATATACAGGATTTAGCCTACATAAACTCCAGCAGTCTCAGATTTCCTGCATATTTATAATTTCTAGTGTGAACTGCTACAGTCTCCTTGATGAATCTTCATAAATAATATATTTGGCTTCAGTTGTCTGCATAGATCATCTTAAGAAATCACAGATTTACAGTATTTAAAACCTAGTTCATTTTAGCAGAAAATAGACAGCTTCTTGCTATTCAAATACCAGTGACTATTTACCTTCTGCAAGGTAAAGAAAAGGTAAAACTGCAAAAGCAATTGTGCATGCAAAAGCAAGAGCAGTCTCCTGAGAGAGAGCATTTTAGTCAAAATACACAATAACCTACCAGCATTTTGTTCTGAGTATGTGCATTTAATTAGGGTTAATGCCAAAGAAATGTCTGTAATTCTCTGTGACAAACACAACCAAGGAACCAGTTGCTGTTGTTTGTGCCCCAGCACTGCTGCAGCCGGGCAGGGTCCCTGGGGACTGCTCCTCCTTGCCTGAGCTGCCTGCTGGGATAACCACTGCTCTGGAGTTATATAAAGCTGAGAGGAAATGAAGCCCTCGGGCAAACAGAACCTTCCTGATCCCTGGTAAGTGTGGAGCTCATCGATCTTTGTCACCTCCTTGACTTAACAGGACAAAAACTGCACCAGCACTGACACTGTGGGTCCCAGAAAAAAAAAAAGAGATGAGCATCAGCCCGAATTATAAACCTGTAGGAAGTGACAGACATGGAAGACTTTGCCTGCAGCTCCCAAGAGATAATGTGTGTGCTCTCCCTCAATAACACTGCACATGGCACGATCCCTCGTGTCTCTAAAGGAAAAAGGGGGAAATACAGGTATTAGGGGAAAAGCCTCGTTTCCCTGGGCAGTTATCAAACCTAGAAACTGCAGCAATGTCGTTGGGTGATTCCCCCCACTAATAATCTAGTTAAAAATTATTAAAGCAAAAGATATGTGGAGATCAGCAGATGAAAGTACTAAAGCAGATGCGACAGCAGAACATTCAGTTGACTCAAAACTGCAATCCTGACATCAAAATGCTGCAGTCCATAAATGCTCTATTTTGCTTAATTTTTGACAAAATTACTCAAAGGAAATGAGAGATTTAGAGCCCATAGTAAGAATCGCTAAAAAAAAAAAAAATGTACTGTGCACTAGGATTCTATCTAGATTCGCCCTATTTAGATGCTTCAAGATAAGTACATCTTTAAGTGCTTTCTTTTGGCCTTGGGGCCAGAGTTTAAAACCCTCCTTGCATTACAGCAGGCACCAAAGATCACTGATGAGCCTGGAAGGAGTGCTCAGGGACACCTGCCTCCCAGAGGTGCTAATCTCCCCCTAAGTGCTCTTCCGTGAAACACAGACTCATTTCCAGCATTGTTCACACCTTGGTTATCCACCATTAAAAGGGTGTCTAGCTGCGATTGCCTTCCTGTTATGGGTAAACAGTCAGCATCTGGAATATTAATTCCACATTAAGTTTAAGGGATGTAGTATCTATCTGCAATGCTAAAGCCACATTGTACACATCTTCTGTATCACAACGAACCATTTGATCAACAACACAAACAAGGATGTCTTTGTTACATATCCTTTTATGACTTGTACATGTCTTTTTTACATACTAGAGTATGGGCTGGCTCATACTCTTTATTTATCTCCTGATAACTTATTGTATTTAGTATCAGGGTCTTAAAAATGATGGGCCTTTTTAAGAAACAGGAATTACCTGCTAAAAGGGTTTCTGATACAGAAGATTTGCTGAAGGACATTAAAACCAGTTTTCTATGTCACTTATGTATATGGTTTTGAATTCTGATCTCTTTTCAATAGCCACCAATTTCAGCTCTTATCAACATTTAAACCTCCTCCGGTGGGTTCAATAATAAAGGAAAAGGTGTTAATTAAGATCCCCAATGCCTTTGGCTCTTCTCTTCTGAGCTCTTTAAGCAATGCAAAGAGGATGGAAAGCTGAAGGTCTGATTTGTTGGTCCTAAGTTTCCTGGTTTTGGACTCCTGAGTGCTACGGGAACATGGGAATATCCCAGAGATGACACCAGAAGTATCATGGTGTGAGACTAGCACAAGAACTCCTCTGTGACTTACGTAATTTGACACAACTAAAGCAAAAATCTGCAGAGAAGTATCCACCCTTGTTTGTCCAGAGCGTTCAGAAGGGTGCATGCACAAAATAGACTTTTATTTTTTTTAAGCTCTCAATAATATAAGCTGGTTTTTATCAATAATATTCCTGCTTTTTTGTGAATTAAATTATAAACACTGAGGTTCAGGAAAACAGCTTTCAGAAGTGAATATGCACTTCTGGCATTTGCTTGTGTGTCACTTTAGATCATTTCAAGTGCTCTTCCCAAAACCAAATATGTTTCCTTTCATAAATAATACTCTGCTGAGGGGACATTCCATTCCTTTTTTTCACATATCAAATTCCAGTTTAAAGAAACTGGTTTTTTTTCTTTTGTTTTTGGTCACTTAATAAAACAAAGATGACTCAGTAGTCTTCTAGTAGAGACATGTGGGAAATAGTAGCAACTGAAACTTCTGCTGATTTGGACTATGGTTGGCAGATTGGCTTGTGTCCCTTCAGTCTGTTCCTAGAAACCAGGCTTCAGGACCAGTATTTGTCTCACTTTGAACATTCAGGGCATGGTGAAAGATGCGCTTGTGTTTTTCCGCTGCCTATTAATTATAACATATCTATGTTTGCAAACTCATTAATCTTGGATTAAAACAATTACAATTTAAAATTTAGGA